CTACTTCCTGCCTCGTCACTGGCCACCAGTGTTTTATTTATATAGAACAATATCCACAGCACGTGTGTGTTTGTGTACACATGTAGGTAGGTGTGCTGGTATCACTGTGTAGCATGTGGAGGTCAGAAGGTAATTTGTGGAGTGGGTTCTCTCCTACCATGGGGGTCCCAGCAATCAGGTACTCTGGCTTGAGAGCAAGCACCACAGTGGGCCGTCTTGTCAGCCTAATGGTCTCTGCTCTTAAAACTCCATTTCATGGGGCTGGAGAGATGGCTCAGAGGTTAAGAGTACTGGCTATTCTTCCCGAGGTCCTGAGTTCAATTCCCAGCATCTACAAGGTGGCTCACAGTCATCTATAACTGTAGTCTCAAGAGCTCCAATGCCCTCTTTCTGGTGTGTAAATGTACATGTACACGAAGCATCTATATACATAAGATATATGAATAAATAAATCTTGAAAACAAAACTCCATTTCACAGTAAATCACACATGCTCTTCTCATTTCAATTTTTTGATCTACCATTGTGTTCTTCATGACTGGTCTTTCCAAATTGTAAAGTGTCTCCAGGAAATTTTTCATTTTTTAAAAAATTTTCAGGCTCGCCTCAAATTGGTTGTGTAGCCTAGGATTATCTAGGGAGGCGGTCTCCCAGCTGGGCTACATCCTCAGCCCATCACATCTCTTTCTTTTTTTTAGCCCATCACATCTTATACTTTATTTTTTTTATATGATACTTGGTCCAGCTCACTACATAAATAATACATGTTCATTGATTTGTGTGTTTTTAGCTTTATTTAATAAGATGGCTGTGAACCACGCTCTTGGAGTCAGATTTACAAGCACTGTGAGACAACATACAGTTATATCGTTCTATTGTGGCATAAAACAAAATTTAACACAAATAGAGAACAGAGTACCTCGATTTTATGAAATGGTGAGATATGATTCATTAAGATAATAGGGATCATATCCGTCAGTAAGTACATAATAACATTTAACAGAGTCCAAGTGGAGTGTTAAGTTTATTGACATTCCTATTCATTGCGGAAGAAGCATAGCCTTGGTACCAGGGCACGGCCTGGGTGCCTTGGCCAATCTTACCACCTGCCAACGTGCGTGAGCAAGCTACTTTACCCCCGGTGAGCCTTACTCACCCTGTCTGTCAATAGGGATTCCGATACCTCTTTCCAAGGCCATTGTCGGTCTCACTTTCAATGGGCTATCGTGTCAAGTACACAGCACACAGCTGAATCAGAGTCCTTGGGTGATAAACAATAGAAACCAACCCTACCAGATGAATGGGAGAACAGCAGCACATTTGTTAGAATGATCAGGCGCTCTTTCAGAATCCAGGAAGCGGCCAAACAGCCGCATTTCAGAACTGGGGACTCCGGCGTCACGGTGGAAGGAAGTCCCAACCGTGCTCTGGGCACAGTCACCTCTGTGGATGACCAGACATGTTTTCACCTATTCTTGACTTTCCGGAAGATTTACATTCCCAGAGGAAAGAGGTTTCTTGTTCTGGATTAGGTGACCTGGTTTTTAAGGGCTGGGAGATTGTGTTAAGTCTTTGGCAGCCTTACCAGATCTGCAGAAAGATGGGGACAATGTCAGGCAAAGCAGAGCTCTCCTCCAATGGCACTTAGTTCTTAGGAAATGTCATTCCTTGTGGTTCACCCATCTGAACCCTGTTTTATATCCTGCCGTGTGTATTGCCTGTATATATTGTATATAGTTATTGTGCTTATTGTATATAGTTTTTCTTATATTAGTTATAACTTTTTTATTTTTATTAGAAAAAAGGGGAAACGTGGTGATATTTTATTTGTGCTGAAATGTGATATTTTATTTGTATGTGAATAAATAAAGTTTGCCTGGAGATCAGAGGTCATAGACAGCCATAAATAGAAGTCAGGCGATGGTAGCCCACGCCCTTAATCCAATCACATGGCAGGCAGCTTCTCTGTGTGGTCAAGGACACAGCCAAGCGTGGTGACACACACCTTTAATCCCAGTACCAACCATAGAGACCTGGAGGTCTGTACAGATAGGCAGTGACGAGGAAATGATGTGTCTGGGCTTAGAGCCAATGAGAAGGCAGAACAGCAAGGCAATAAAGGTGCAGGTTAGACAGGAAGAGGCTCCCTTGGGAAGCTATGGGGATTGTGGGACTGTGGGGCTTGGTGGAGCCTGGAGAGAAGCCCTCCAGCAACAGTGGTGAGCTAAGGTTAGTTGGCGGCTATTGCTCTGATCTCTACGGCTTGCAACCCTGTATTTGACTCTCTGCTTCTGATTTCATAAGACTGCTTAGAAATTCGTCTACAAGTCGGTGTAACATTATGCATTCTAGCCAATTTAATACTTTTAAACTTTAAGAATCTTGTCTCTCTCTCTCTCTGAGTGTCCTGTGCCTCATCTTAGGTATTTTGCCTGTGTACGTGTCTAGAGTATGTATGCATTCCTACATGTATACATGCTTGTGTAGATGTGTGTGTGTATGTGTGTGTATGTGTGTGTGTGTCCGCGGGCGCACATATGCAGAGGGCCGAAGATAGCTCCATGTGCCATCTTCAGGAGCTGTCCACTACGGTTTTCTTTGAGATAGTGTCTCTCATTGTCCTGGGTCCCACCAAATGGACTAGGCCAGCTAACGAGCGAACACAGACTCTGCTGCCTCTGGCGCCCCAGTGCTCACATTATAAAAACTCACCACCACCACCACCACCACACCTCTCTCTTTTCTTGTAACCCCGGCTTCTGGGGAGCACACTGAGGTCCTGGTGCTTGCAAGGCAAGCTCAATGTTGACTGCACTCGACCACCAGCCATCGTCCAAGATGCAATAGCAGTGTTATCACCAGGCCTGGGGCCTTCTTTGTACTCTCTGCTCAGAATCAGCTTGCCTGACTTCTAAACGGACACGACTGATCTCCCTCCTTGTCCATGACTTTACCTCCGTGTCTGCCTCCTAAAATTATCCAGGAAATGACCGACCCATCAAGACATCCTTTCTCTCCACGCAACCAACTTTCCAGCCTCCCAGCTTGCTTTCTCAACTATTTCCTCTGAGCATCTTGCCTCTTCTTGTCTGTTACGGTCTGAATTGGAAACGGTCCCACGTAAGGTCACATGTTTGAACACGAGGTCTCCATCGGGTGGTGCTGTTGGGGGAAGACTGTGAAACCTTGAGGAGGCAGACACTTGCTGGAGGAAGTGTGTCACTGGGGGGAGGGGGGGCTTAGGTTTTACCGCCCAGTCCCACTTCCTGTTCTCTCTCTGCTTCCTGACAGTCAATGACTGTGACTGTCCGCCTCATGGAAAGTTCCCCTGGAATATTCTGTAGGTCAGAATTTCCCTCCTTAAGTTGCTCTGGTCGGGTATTTTGTTTCAACAATGTGTAAGGTAACTAAGACATTGTCTCTCCCTGCTTTATTTATTGTCTTCCAAACAGAGTCTAAACTCCATGGTAACATCGTTCAAGGCGCTTCTTCAGCATCCACTTCCACATTGGACTATAAGCAGCATGCGAGGAACATCTGACATTCATCCTGATTTGCCCAGGCCTGAACAAAGTGATGGAATACCGGTACTGACACTCTTCTGATCCCGCATCTGCGGACAGGGGCTCTCAGTGAGCGATCCCCAACTATCCCATTGCTGTCCCTGAGAAGTAGAGGAAATGGAGACCTTCCCCTGTGCTCATGAAATAAGTAATGCAGTACGTTTTTCCACAGTTTTGTCTTCTCTCCAGTTAAGCTCTTTGACCTGGGTCCTCATAAACTAATTGATCTTCCATTTTAGCAAAGAAGTGCTAATCCAATATTAGTAATAAAAATTTTTTTTTGAAAATAGCTAAGCACATACAATTTGAGACGTAGGTTTCCTCTCTGCATGTGTGTGGACCCGTGTCTGTAATATATTTTTACTGTAGGGTTTCTATGTCGCACAGACTTGTCCCACACATATGGCTTGAAGCCACAGTCCCAGCTCTGCCTCCCAAGAAGCTGCCATGCCCAGATTGCGATGTATTTTGAATGTTACGTATAGGGGGCTGGAGTGACGGTGACTCAGCAGTTAGCATTGGCTGTCGCTTCCCGAGGACCCAGGCTCATCCCAGCACCCAAATGACAGTTCAAAACGATCTATAACTCCAGCTCCAGGGCACCCGGCGCCCCCTTATGGTCTCTGTGGGTACTGCACTCAAGTGGTGCACAGCCGTATACACAGGCAAACATGAAATAAAATAAGAACAACTGTAAAAAGCAGAAATTAAGCATTCATTTCCTAAATTAAGTATGTGATCTTGTTACTGAGGGTATTCTTGGATTATGTAGTAACACTAAAGATATCTGTATTTCCTGGTACCTCACAAAAATCCCTGCATCTTTCCGGGGCCGCCTGGCTGTTTCTGTTAGTTTTAGAGCGGTCCCGTTTCTCTGTTGTAAATACGATCTGTGAGGCACCCTGTGGAGGGTCAGCATCACTTCTCTAGTGAGTATCCATTTTTTGTTTGATTCACCACTTTATCTATAGCTTCACTCCGTCTCTCAGAACCACAGGCAAATGCAGACTGGGGGTAGAAAGGGAGACAAGGAGGTGATTCATGGTAGCCGGGCAACACGCGCACGCGCGCGCGCGCGCGCGCGCGCACACACACACACACACACACACACACACACAAAGTGAAACAAGTATTGATTTTATAAGAAACAAACACTAATTCCCTCTGGGAAACTGTACCCATCATGTGCTTGAGTTACTGAGTCGAGGAGATAATATATGAGAAGGTGCAATCAATACATAGGAAACAGGAAGCTGAAATTCATACTCTGTTTTAAGGAACATATTGAAAGTATGAGTGTGTGTGTGTGTGTGTGTGTGTGTGTGTGTGTGTGTGTGTGTGTGGTGCATTCATATGTGTGTGCACATTTACATACGTCTGTGTGGAGGCCAGAGATAGATGTTGGGTGTCTTTTGTTTTTCAAGACAGGGTTTCTCTGTGTAGCCCTGGCTGTCCTGGAACTCACTCTGTAGACCAGGCTGGGCTCGAACTCACAGAGATCCACCTGCCTCTGCCTCCGGAGTGCTGGGGTCATCCTAGCCAATCAGTCTCCGTCATACATTCGGAGACAAGGTCTCTCACTGAACCGGTAGCTCATTCACCAGCTGGACTGGCTGGCCAGCAAGCTCCAGGCCTCCCCCAGCCGTCTGCCTCAGCTTCCCCAACACGGAGATTTCAGATGAGTCTCCAAACCCAGGTCCTCATTTGTGCATCAAACGCTTCACTGACAAATCATCTCCGTGGCACCTGTCCCACTTGGAAAGCCCTCATCTGCTGTAGCTGCCTCTGACGTCACCACCCCTCTACTGTACCCCCTCTCTGAAGCTGTCGCCCTCTTTTCTCTTCCTGCAGACATTTATGCCGTGTGCTAGTTCTGAGACCGCCACGCATTCCTTAGAACGGAACCTTTACGGATGCCCTGGAGCTTAGGTACTTTAAAATGAGAGGCATTTTGCATTTAAAACAGGGGCTTGTTTTGAACCGAGTACTCCTTGGGAGGAGGGACTGATATGGGAGCTCACGTGACCTGCTGTGACAAAGCCGCCCAGCGTTGTCTTCTCGGTAACTGACCTCCACTTTGAACCTCGGTGGCCATCACATTTAGTCACATTCTAAATCTCTGGGCACCAGACTCACACAGCAGCTCCTCAGCACCTACACTCAGTGGGCAGCTCATCTGCTGACAGGCAGATGCACAGTCAAATTCTCCGTCTTGAGCGAAGCGAGTTAGAGTTTGGCCACAAGAAGTGAACTACTGATGCGCAAGGGTGGCCATTTCCACCACATTTAGGCATGCATGGACAGAGAAAATGGGGTTGTGTGAAGGAAACATTGGGGGGGGGGTAGAGAAGAGTAGAAAAGGAGGACCATGTGGCCTCAGTGGATATTAAGGGGCAGAGAGATGTGTGGCTTTGTTCCTCAAGGGTAGCCAACCACAGCTGCGGTTCCCACAGGGACCCCTCTTACTGCTTTTAGTGGCATCTGGTGTAACAAAGCCCCCGGTATCCAAATTGCTTTAGTGTGTTTCTCTTCGGCAGCGAGATTATCTTGACTCTAGTTGTACCTGCCTAATGAACGGCTCTTTGCAGATTTGGGCAGATGTGGACGTGGTAGACTTTCAGAGCTCCTGGGATGACCAGAGACAATCCGATGTAATCTGCTCTGGAACAGAACCCAGGCCACATTTCTTCTCCCAGCTGAAAGGGCAGGCTCGCTGGCCAGACGGGGAAGAAATTCCCGTTTTGCCTATGATCCTGGGCTGTCCTAACATCTCTGCTTTGATTTCCCTGTTTACAAACACAACAGTAGCAATATTTTTCTGTGGCATAGTTTGTTGTGAGGATTAAACACAAACTAACAGTGTGATTGATGTGTACCTATTTGGGTAGATGTTACCCTAGCAAGGCCTTGCTTTTGCCCACATACAACCCCACTCTACACCACAAACACCCGCCACACACAAACGTGTGTGTAAATACAAGAGCTATGATAACACACATATGTGTGTAATATAATAATGCATACTTACAGTAAGATATGTTTTTTGTTTTTCATGGATGCACCTGGGTATGGACACTAGATTAAAAATTCACGGATAGCTTACCATCTCTTTGGCTTAACCCTTGACTCCCCGTTACATTCACACTTTGATGACTTAGAGTTTCATTATTTACTCTGAACAAACTTCTGTGTCTTCTCCTAATGCGCATGTCTCTGTGAAAGGGTAGGAGAGAGACTGGTGAGTCAGGGTGTCTTAGAGAGCCAACAAGGGAAGGGCTGGTCCCCGGTCTTCATCCTTTTGCTCTGGAGCAGAACCCATGGACACATTTCTTCTCCCAGCCGAGGAGGGCTCAGCAAGGGTGGAATGACAATATCAAGCCTGGAATGTGCAACCCTCCTGCTTTGTCTCCAGGCATGGAGATCACAGGCATGCACCCCGGTGCCTGGCCTAAGAAGGATTTTTTTTCTTTTTCAATTTGCTTGTGGCAAAGAAAAACCGGGCAGTCACATTGCATTATGCGCTCCAAATGCCATAAGAAAATAATCAGGCTGGGTGGCTTAAATGACAGAGATTTGTGCTGTCACAGTTCAAGAGGCTAGAAGTTTGTGTCAAGGTGTCATCAATGCCAGTTTCTAGAGAGAGGCTGGTGGACAGCTGCCTTCCCGGGTGTCCTTACATGGCCTTTCCTCTTCAAGCACTGAGGGAGAGAGGCGGGGAGAGGGAGGCTGAGGGAGAAGGGTATCGGCCGGGGAGAACGCGTTCCTGTGAGCGTTCCCTATGTGTCTCTTAACCCTCCAGACAAGAACACAGTCCGATTGCATCAGGGGCTTAGCATGTGACTTGTCTGGGGAGACATAAATAGGAGATTTATTTACCCCCAAATAGGGAAGCAGTGGACAGACCATAGAAAGATCCAGTTAAGTCCAGTCTGGTGAATAAATGACTTTATTTGAGTCACTTCCAGGAGCAAAGGTGACTCATAAGCAATGCGCCACCAGAAAGTCCCGCCCCCAGGCGTTCTTTACTTGAAATGTTATGAAACATTTTCAGACAGGAGGGAAAGGGGATCTGGAAACCCGGAGAAGGGTCCCCTAAAGATCGATGGCCCCTTCCCCAAGAGGAGATGTGAGCAGCTCCGGGACTGTGACTGTAGAGCTCACTCTTGGTTTCATTGCCGTCACTTCCCGTATGTTGTCGAAGTCACTCTGCTTCAATATGGCAGTGGTCACGTCAAGAGGCCTGGAGGAGACAGTCACACTCCAGGCCCCCACCCCTAGGACTTCATTACTCCTAATTACTTCCCTAAAAGCTCTAACTCCAAACAAGGGCCCAGCGGAGGTCAGGACTTCAACATGTCAATCTTGTATGTTGGGGGTCAGGGTATTAGATCTCGGTTCTAGTTTGAGGGGAGCTTTTTATTTCTTTATTTTTAAACCTGCTCCCAGTCTCAGCGTAGAGAGACCTGTTTTGATTATGTTTTGGCGTAGGGGCTGGATCAGTCACTTTTCTGTTGCTGTGACCAAAAGCAACTAGAGGAAGAAAGGGCCTTTTTGTCTTACAGTCTGTACTCCATCACGGAGGGGAAGCCAAGGCAGGGATTCAAGCCAGGAACTTGAAGGAGACCTCACAGAGGGACTCAGCTTGCGGGCTTGTTCCCAGGCTCACGTTCAGCTTCCTTTCTCATACAGTCCAGGCCCACCTGCCCACGGGTGGCAGAGCCCACACTAGACTGGGTCCCCCAACATCAATCAACAATCGTGAACATGCCCCACCGACATGCCGGCAGGCCAGTCTCATGGAGGCAACCCCCTCCCCCCCTCCCCCCCCGCAGTTGGTTTTGGTTGGTGTTTATCACCACATCCAAGAAACAGACTAGAACTAGGTCCAGGGCTTCTAGTCTACATGACTGTGCAGTCCTAAATCAAGCTGTGGGCTGGGTCTCTGAAAGGCATGTGAAGAACACAAACCTGTCACAGTCAAATATCCCCATGGTCACATAGGAGCCATTGAGGAATGCAGAAGCCACCACACTGTAGTCGGGTCTCACAGGTTAAACCTTGTGGTATTGACTCTGGCTTTCTCAGGTGTGCTTTCAAGAGGCCACCACAGTGTCACCACAGCGTCACCCAGAGGCCACCACAGTGGTGTAGAGCTACACCAGAGTCTCCGGTACAGCCTGTCAGTAAGAGCACCTGTAGAATCGGGGAGGCTCTCTCTGGTTTGAGACGCACAGCCGGTGGATTGAGAATGATATAAAACTGCCACAGAAAGGGTAGATCTCGGGAGGAGACAGGGAAACAGAGAAATGGAGGTGAATGAGCAGGAGGGTGGGGTCAGAGGGCTGGCCAGCTACAGAACAAGTTTCGGGAACATCGAGTTTTCTTATGCATGACTTGGCAGATAGGCCACACTTAGATCATCTGAAACACGCAGAGCTACCTTCACACCACTGGAGAACTTTGGTCAGGTGACAAAAAGTTCCACAACAGGGCACTATGCTTCCCTGTAGCCTTTCCTGGCTGAGAGATCTCGTCCCGGAACAAAACACACCAAACCCCTGCGTTGATTAACAATCTCGTTCAAAG